GTTACTGCAGATAGCCCTTTTGCACCAAGAGATGTACACATGCAAAGAGACTTATTGGTTGCTGGGAGTGAAATAGCTCAAATAACTAGCACATGTATAACTAGGGAACTTTTTGCTTCCACAGGTTCTGATTATTAACTTAACTAACTATAGATTTTACTGGGCAATATTATCCTTCAAATCATCAGTTTTTCCCTAAGCTTTTCATCAATACGGCTATGTTCCATTTGCCTATCATCCACAAACATCAATCATCTGTTCTAGAAAAGGAATATTTGATAAAGATCTAAGTATGTACGTAATCAGTCAGCCTAAGCCTTTCAAAATTGATTTTTAGAAACGCAATAGGAGCAAATATCTAGAACTTAGTTTAAATTAGAGGAGCAAATATCTAGAACTTAGTTTAAATTAGAGGAGCTTCAAGGTGTAAGTAAGTGCTGGACTGCCTGAGAAATGCACAAATGGCACATTCAGGTCTAGAGAAGATGACATTTGTTGCAAGTGTAAGCTTAAGGATTAAAATTCTTTTAGTTCATTTCTGAAGGCTACAAATGCACTGCTTGTGCTAATTCTTTCTACATTTTCCAGTGTGCATGCTCATGATACCAAGATTGCAGGCTGGAGCTGATGCTTCCTTAGTGGAGACACCAAGATCCCTTGAGGAGCTCATAGAAATTGGAGAAAAAACTACTGGATACAGAGTATGTTACATGGTAGAATGTGGTGCAATTCCCATGCTTACACCTGAGGAGCTCAAATCATATGGCTATCACTTGATTGTTCATCCGTTGACAACTCTTTATGCCTCTGCACATGCCATGCTTGATGTTCTGAAGGCACTGAAGGATGAAGGATCTACAAGGGATCACCTGGACAGGATGGCTACTTTTGCGGAATTCAATCAGTTGCTGAGTTTGGGTTCTTGGATCAAAGCTTGAAGCTTGGATCTCAAACTTGAAATATGGTGCATGCAAATCATGATGCTTCTTGGCTTGAATCCTGATCTTGTGGAAAGCATAGAAAGATATTGAGAAGGTGTAACAGTACTTTTAAACTTTTGCAAATCTGTAAGCAAATTTTGGTTGTGATGTCTGTCTCATTGGAGAGAATTTCATTGTTTGGTCTTGCAAAGGCTCACTGCAGAGATTTTTACTAATCGTGTGCTCTTGTTTGCTGCTGATGAGATGTTATCTTCAATATGGATGATATATCAAAGTTTGGACTTGAAATGTGACAGAGGCCTGTGAAGCAAATATACTTGAGCTGTCACAAAATAACTCCATCACTATGTTAAGTGGTGGACTGATGAAGATTCTGACGTTTGACAGTTTATTACTTCATCATTACTCTATAAAAATTATGAATCTTGGTATTGGGGAGTGTATGTGAGTACTTTTTTATTTTAGTCTTTGTTATTTCTAAATTACCCTCATGTCTTTTAATCAGAATTATTACATTTTAATGTGTCACTAATTAAAAGAAATAAAACACTCCAATTGATTACATCTTAATAGTATTGATAATTATAATTAAAAATTGCTCATTAAAAACTATTTACTTACCATTGGACTCCATCTCCAGTTATTATACATATCAAAATTTCTTAATTGAAGTATGAAAAATTTCTCATTAGCCATTAGTTGAGATTGTAAAAAAAAAAAAAAAAAAAAAAGGTCAATGTCAAAAAATAGATAGTCTCTAGAAAATGGAAAAACATACAAGGAGAAAAGAACCCTTATTATCTATATATCTTTATACAAATATCACGAGTAAATTTTACAATTATGCACTTTTTACTAATATGAAGAATTTTTCATGTTGCACCCAATGGAATTTCAATATACAAAAAATGATGACACCTTTATAACTGAAATAGCGGTATTAAATTGGAAAAAGGAAATCTGAAACAGTATCATACAAATCACTATTATCATTAATAACAATCGATCAAAACAAGAAGAACCAAAAAAAAATTGAAAACTATTTATGAAATGACATAAAGTAAATAGCAAATGAATTAAAAAGTTAGAATACAATTCAAATAATACCAAAGACAATATCTAAATCACTAATATCTAGGGGAAGACAAACATTGTTATTGACAATAATATAGTAATGTTTCATTTGTATTGGTTTGAGCAAACCAAATCTATCCATCAAGTCAGAAACCATCTCCAATGATACAATAAGAATTATAATAAGAGTAAACATTAAATGAAGAATGATAAAATGAAAATGATATCCAAATTATTTTTTATGATGCCCAAAATACCCTTATTTTTTCTAAAGGTTACATATATTTATTGTATTGCAATATTAGTGAACAATGGAAGCTATGATGAAATGAAAAGCTTTAAAATTAAGTAAATTTCATTTGTGGTGACAATTGTAATTAGATAGATTTAATGCATTCCAATAATTGATAATAATGATAGTGTTTATGGATTAAAAGTTGTCAATTAAAAAATAAAACACTCTAATATACAAAAAATTAATATTAAAAATGTTAATTAGCCACAATTCTCATTCCAATTCCATGATCATAAAAAAAACTAATACTAAAACCAAAAATATTGTACTCATATGAAGAACAATAGACTTGTTGTTTTGGCTTCGCATTGGATTGTGCTAAAAATATGAATAACAGAAAACGAAAATAGAAAAACTCCAACTATCTCTATCCATAAAATTTCAATTGTTAGAATTTACAAACTAAAAAAACTTTATATGGTAGATCATTTACACTCCATTATTGACAAAAATAGAATTAACATAATATAAAGAATTCAAATTGCATGTATGTTTATTTTTCTAACTTAATTATATTCTTTGTTTATAAAAAATTATAGTGATTGTGGTTTATATACAATAGAATCATGAATATACAATCATTTTGGTAAAACATGCTATTATCGATATTTGATATGTTAGAGTTCAAGTTATAAATTAAAAAGTGTTTGGTTCATGATTCCAAATTCAATCCTAAGGGACATGTCAATTACATTGGAATGTTTTCTATCTCTTTTCGTTTAATAATTTTTTTTAAAAAAAACTAGTTTAAAAAAATAAATAATTTAAAAATACTACATTATGATGTTGATGATCAAAATTTCATAAAAAATTTTCAGTAGCTAAAGAATAATATATTTTAAGATATTACAATCATGTGCAAAGCACGTGAATTATTACTAGTGAAATAAAAGAATGGGAACCAAAAGAAACTTGAACATAAATTATAACCATTTCAAATATAGCATTATGTAAAAGCTTCTCATTAATCAATTCATTTGCATGATTTCAGAATTGACCCTAAAAAGGAAAATCACCCTCGGTATTAATCACTCCTTGATTAGGTGGTTGATTCTTCTGATAATTAGATGATAGATTCCCCCTTTTGAAATTTATTTCTACAACTTAATCTAGATGAACCCTCTTTTTTTTTTTTTTTTTTTTTGCAGATGAAATTGCTACTTGGAAAATTTAATTTTTAGCATTTGAAGAAATAAAGCCACAACTAGCTCAAACAATACAATTGAAACCCATTTGCACGTAAAAGCTGAAAAACAATTGCTGCAGTATAGTGGACTATTAATCAACCTCAAATAAATGGCTTACTGCTTCCAAAACGTACCAGCCAATCTGTGATGTTCAACATAGATTACACCCTTGTACCTGGTGCTGGGGTGGGTTGTATTTGATGAAGTTGACGGGTGCTATCTATTTAGTAATGAACTTTAGTCAAGTTGAAAAGAGTTCAGACTGATAATACTTAGAAATAATATTCAAAAAGGAATATAGTATGAATTTTGAAGAGGTCATCAATTAGGTAATAGATGACTTTGCTGATAATTAAAGAATATAATTTTCCAAGTCTACATGTGCGTGTGTAGGTCTATAATTTTCCAGGTGGCAATACTCTGTCCAACCCTCAAGTAGCTAAGCAATTGGACCCCCTATGGTAAAAATAAATAGGTTTGGAGTCAGTTTCTACAATGAAAGGGAAAAAAAATGAAGCCACATAGAAACTGCCACCCCTTAAGAATTTAATCCAATATATGGACAGCATATTACTGTTCTGTCCCTTCTAGAAAGTAATATAAGTTTGTTAATAGAAAGTAATATAAGTTTGTTAATCTCACTTGTCAGACTTGAACAGAAAACTACTTTTATTATCCAAAATATTTTGTTTTTGTTAAATTGAGTTTATTATCCAAAAAAAATGTTCAATTATATCAATTATATACCTCTTGCACATTGATAAGAATTTTGGCCACATCCTATTTTATGTACCACTAAATTGTAAGTAACTGGATAAATGTATCATACAATCTACACTAAAAATATACCTTTTATTTGCCATCTAGATGTAAATATCTCATACGGTGGTGCAACCCTCAAGCATATTCCTTTCTCCCTTCTTGTAAGTTTTGGGGTTCTCTTGAATTTTTTTTTTTTTTTTAAAAAAAAAAAGAGACTTGGGACATTCAGGGTCAACATTAGCTTCGTTAGAACATTCAGTTCCTTTGTTAGGACATTCGGTGAAATCCACAAGATTATTGAGATGCAGACACAGACGAGACGACTCAATAGCATGACATCAACTAAAAAAAAAAAAAACTACACCACAATGAATCTGATCTATAGATTCGTAAGAATATATTTCTATGTTAAGGGAGGGAGGATTACAGTGATGGCGAAAAAAGGAGCATTAGTTATTTATTTGACATATTATGGACATTTTAATTCCATGACTCTAAATATTCTAATCCCTTTCACATCCTAATCCAGTGTTTTACATTTTTGGATTATCATGTCCTAATTCGGTTGATCCCAATACTATCATTTGTTTATTAATTTAATTCCAATTTATGTCCTAATCCAATATTTTTACTCAATCTGTATTTAGCTTGTACCGACAAATAATGCCAAATGGTTGCTTATAAAATGCATTCTCAACAATTAAACAAATAATGAAATTGTCCTACGCAGTTAACTTGTAATAAAGGGTGCTATGATAGATAAATAGACAAATGTCCAGAATATAATTTTCCTACATTTTCTTCCGTAAAAGCCAGCTTATATTAGTCTTTCTTCCTTTCTTCTTCAAGTCTTGTCCTCTTTCAACTTTCCAATCTGCATACAGTTGAAGAAACAATCATGGATAGAGAGCAAGAAGAGATGCAATTTTTAGGCCTTTTTGGGATCTATGCAGAAGCCTACAAAGTGGTTTTTAGATGGAGAAAAATCTTCAGCAAAATCGCCCTATCTTTGATCCTTCCACTATCCCTCATTTTCTTGGCTCATATAGAACTATCCCATCTACTCAAGATAAAAGTCATCCACACTGAAAACCAATTGCATCGTGCCCAATCAGAGCCTCAAAAAAGCAAGAAACTCACTGATTTGAATTGGTACAACATCACTTACCTCACATTTCTCCTCATTTTTTCTCTGCTTTCCACTGCTGCTGTTGTTTACACCATTGCCTGCATATATACCGGCCGAGAAATAACCTTCAAGAAGGTCATGAGTGTTGTCCCAAAGGTCTGGCAAAGGCTTGTGGGCACTTTTCTGTGCGCTTCTCTTGCTTTCTTTGCTTATAACCTCATAGCTTTACTAGTTTTAATGATATTGACCATGACCCTTGGAGAAACGTTGATTGGTGCTGTTTTGTTAATCCTCTTGTTGATTGTGTATATTCTGGTCTTTGTCTACATGACCATAATTTGGCAGTTGGCCTGTGTTGTGTCTGTTTTAGAAGACTCATATGGGATCAAAGCTATGATGAAAAGCCAGGAATTAATCAAAGGGAAGATGCCGATTAGCATAGTTATATTTTTTAAGCTGAATTTGTCCCTTGCTGCAATTCAGCTGTTGTTTTATGCTCATGTTGTTCATGGTGGATGGAGATTTGGAGTATTACACCGTTTGGGATTAGGGATGCTGTGTTTGTTGCTGCTTTTCAAGTTGATTCTCTTTGGATTGGTGATTCAAACAATTGTCTACTTTGTTTGCAAGTCTTATCACCATGAAAACATTGATAAGTCAGCCCTATCGGATCATCTTGAAGCTTATTTGGGGGAACATGTGCCTTTGAAGTCCAAGGATGTACAACTGGAGCAGCAGAATATGATGCTTGATGGTTGATTCTAGTATGGTAACAAAATCTGTACTTTGATAATAATATCCTTAAGTTTTTTTCTCTATTTTTGTTTTTCATCCTAATTAGTGTTTGCCTTTTGGCTTATATTACTCCAAAGCACCCTCATGCTCTTTTATATGTACTTGTTATGTGTAGCATTAGATGTTAAAGGTATCTTGCTACTTGTGTTTACAACTAATTGTGACAAATCATTTTTACAATTGTAACTTATGGTCAATTTTTATTTTACATATTACTTATTATTATCTAATTGTAACTTTCACAAAGAACAGATACTCATTAGAAAATGACAATGTTGTGCCAGTATAAAGTACTTTTTAATGAAATTTGGCATGGATTTAAGATTACATATATCATATATTTAATCAATTCGCAATTCATTTCATTTTAGCACACTATTGTAACTATTTGAAATTTAATGGATCATATTAATCAAAAGTTAAAATATAGGGGACCAATACGAAGTTAGAACTGTTGGCTAATAGCAATATGATTTTGACCATTAGTTATTGTTGAATCTTCATCAGTTGTACTAAATATGCTTAAAATCTGAAACTTTGAGAACCAAATTTGTTTTGATCAAAACATTAGAGATCAATTTAACACAGAGACTAAATATTAGGAACCAAAACTGTAATTCTCCCTTGAGAAGGTGATGCACGAATAGAAATGTTATCGTATCAAGTCTAGTTTGCTAGTAACTTTCATTGTAATTTATTATTTATTTTATAATTAATTTCCCTTATTACCTGATCCAATGTGGATTAATTGTCAGATTCTATTCACTTTTGAAAATTTGCACTTATTACAGGAAATAGAACAAAAATATCATAACAAGTGCTAATTTGACAATCATCAGAAAAGAGTTCAAATAACAGACATCCAGAAACATTTTTGAAATATCAAGACGCGACTTTTCTTGGTAATTTGGCCGAAGTCAGCATTCAAAAGAAAGGGCTGGAGTCTTTTTCTTCTCCCTGGTGGACGCCGCATAGTAGCAGTAGAAACTAGATATTAGATAGCAGACAATTAGGACTACTTGGAGTTGCTTTCTTTGACTTTTCCTTTTTGTCTTTTAGCAGTTTTCTTCCCTCGGATGTTAGTGGAAGCATTGAATTTTCCTCTGTAGCTTCGTTTTCCTTGATTGCTCAAACGAATTGAATTTTCCCAAATTTTGAGACAATGGCCGCGACTGATGCTTCACCTTTGTGTGGGTCTTTTGTATCCGGAATGAACTAAATTTTTTTTTTTTAGTCAAGAAATAATGAAGGCTTTGATTTGTCTAAAAATTGTAAGATCGATTTAATTTTATCTTTTTTTCTTATTTATTGGTATTTGCATATTCCCTGATTGCAGTGCTTATAGTTATTTAATTGATTGATTGTCTTGGATTCGGATAATGAGTTGATTTAATAATCTATTGTTAATTGGGGTATTAAATCCGTTTTGTTTAATTGCCTCGAAATAATGACAACTGGTATGATTAGATTTGTGTCAGGGGAATACGCAGACTAATCTAAAATAACCCTGGTAGTGTACTATTTGATTAGAATAGGGTTCCTCTAACACGTAAGGCAATTGGAGAATTAAATCTTATGGGCGTACCTAGGACTATCATATATATATATATATATATATATATAATAAAGTCGTATTCTCATTCTTATTCTTTCATGTTTTCTCTTTCCTATGTGGCTTAATGAGACGACAAGTAGTTTCCTACGTGGATTGCTCCTTTTTTGTTAGATAGATACATCAATTCTTATTTCCTATAAGAATTCTTATAGGAACTGAAAAGTAATACGATATAAATAAAAGAGACATAAATATCTCTATTAGATATATCTTCAAATTCATGCCAATAATTTGTATACTGCATAGGGAACCGAAGTAAATAAAAATTGTTATCACTACAAGAAGTAGAAAGGTAACTAATTTCAAAATGAACAATTAATAACAGAAGTCAATATCTGATGTTGGAAATAGGATTCTTAATAAATTTTATTATTAAGTGCATTATCAAAACATCGTGCATAGCACGAAATTTATGGAAAAGAAAAAGTTAATTGAATCCAATTAACTATATGTATTTGACCTGTACGGTCAAATATAAATTCCTATTTGAGCATGGGTTTGTAAATTCCTATAAACCCGTTCATTGTTAATCAAAACATGCAGGTTATACTCATTGATAAGTTATAAGATTTACAATAAGTCTCTGCTCAGATGGTGGGGAGTATTTAGTGTATGGACCCGCAAAATAGGAGTTTATGCACTTAAAGGACTCGATATAGTTGAGATAGTCTTTCAAGATAGGTAAAATCTGTCTTGAGAACGTATTTTTATTTCCTATAAGAATTCTTAATGTTATAGGATTCTTATTTCCTACCCAAAGTTGCGTACTTTAAACAACTTAAATCAAGATAAACCTACTTTTAATGTTCTTATCAATATCTCTTTATATTCTTATCAATTCTTATTTTTTATGCCTACACTATATATAACCTCTAACATATTGATTTCAAGCATCAAATTCATGGTTAGGTATTTTCAGTGTAAGCGGTTGGCACATTAAAGTATCGATTTTGGGTTTCCACTCCTCTTGATTATCAGGTACATCTTCTTTCAATACATTTTTTTTTTTAAAAAAAAGGCATGTTAATCTTCAATTGTAAAAGTTTAGTAACATATCTTGAATTTTGTTTTTTTATGAACACATAGGATTAGTAATACATCTTGAATTAGTAATAAATTTCTCTTATATTTCACATATTATATCTCACATAATATTTTTGCCTTTAATTTTGATAAATCATTATCAGATTGGTGGAACCGATAACCAATACCAACCTGAAGCATCTTCTTCCCAGATCTCAATTAGTATAACAGATGATTCTAATCAACAACATTTCAATACACTTCATATGAATCATTTATCAGAGGGTTCAACAAAAACCACAGAGGAAGGGAATTTTCATAAAAAGATTTGCATGAGAAGGTAGATTTAATATATTATTTTACTTTCTTAAATTATAATCTTTACGTATTGTTATACACAACCTTGAATGCGATAAATCATTTATTTTTTTATACTTAGTTACCTTGCTTTGCTATCATGCAGTGACAATGAAAAATTAGTAAATGCTGATTTGCACGGACAAATCGAAGAGAATGTTCAAACAGAAGAAAAACAAAAACAAGTTTCTGAAGAGTAGAATATTATTTGATACTATTTAATGTACTTTTTATTTATTTTCAAGTTTTTGAATGTTATGGTATTGTCGAATGTTATTTTTTCCATTTTTGAATTATTATTCACAAAATTAGATGTTCAAATTTATATTATAAAAATACTTTATATTACAATGCGCATATAGTAATATACTTAAGAAAGGTTATAATAAAATATACATTAAGTTTGTATTTCATATCGAAATTCTTATAAAATTGACTAAATAGTTTCAATTCTAGAAGTTTACGTGCACCTTTGTATCAAGTTTTGTACAGGATAAGCTTTTAAAAAAAAAAGTTTATTATTTTTCGAAGATTCCTGTTCAACAAACGGGTACAAAACTAGTTTTTCAATTAGAGCAGTGATTAACGAGCGTACCTTAATCATCGATACAGTAAGGAGAGCTTAACTGTCATCACTTGTTTGGCAATTATAACCTATTTATTAGTAAATAATTGGAATTGCTTGTGCATCGATGATCAATTAGGTGAACCATTGCTGAAATTATTTCTTGGCTAAACCTTTAATTATTATTACTCTAATTTTAGTGAATTATCATTTAATTTCTAGTGAGCTATTTATTTTTATTTGAACTTCTTTGATTGTCATCGTTTATACAAGAACACCCCCCTTGTTACTGTGGATTTGAAAAGAAACGAATTTTTCCCCAGTCCCTGAGGATACTGACGGGATTTTTATATCAATGCAAATTTATTTTCGAATTTTACCCGTTAAACTGCAATTATACAGGTCACTTAGTAGTTTTGGGTAAATATCAGGTCGATCCCACGATGAACAATGTCTACAAGTACTAGGTCCTTATTTTCTCTATTATTTAGACTTATAATGAATTTGAACAGAGAAATAATATGGCTGCTGTATACAATTCTGAGTTAACAAATTGAAAGATACAAATGGAGATTTTTCACTAAAGACTTAAATCTAAGGATATAGATTCCGCTTATGGTAAAAATAGCACAAATGAATAGATTTACCTCTTGTTATTATTCTTGTTAAACCAGGGATTCATTTCCAATATTACCAAATCTCATTCTCATGATAAAATGGCCTAGAGCAGTCCAGTTTTCCCTATTTTTATGGTGAAATACTAGCTCTACTCTATTTTCCTTCATAAAATGCTACATAATCCGCTTAAGTGTACCTCTATTTTCATGAACATACAACTCAAGCTCTACTCGTGTTTTTCCATTGTTACTACCAATTCTCATTGACTAATAACAACTATAAATATGCTATTGGTGATCAAACAACAACAAGTAATTACAACTGAACAAATAGACAAGTTAATACAAGATACAACAAGTGTAACTCACGTTCCATTCATATCATTTAGTCATAAGTTTCATCTACTCCCTAGATAAAGAAAATTAGCTACTCATGGATGATATAACAATCAAACTCATAACTTCATTAATGAAAAACATCTCAAGTTACAAGTACAAGAAGGTTAAGAAAAGCTTAGCCAAGTTAATGGTGAAACTCTCCAATTTCTGCTATGTCTTGTACTGAAAAATGATAACAAGATGAATTCTCCAAGTGCTCATTCAAGAACTTCTAACTAGAGAGAAAATGTTACCGGAAGAAGACTAGCTACGTATGGTGATCTTGGCTTCTCCTTGCTTCTCTGTATAAAAGGTGGTGAAAAGCACCTTTTTTCTCCTTCATGATTCCAACAACTAAGATTTTGTTAAAGAAAGTCAAAAGGCATGTTGTTTTGACTTGTCAATAACTCATTTTGTCTTCCCTTTTGTTGCAGAAGCATGTGTCACTGAATTCTCTCACCCAAGATAGCTGGAAAGTTGCGTGAAAAGTGAGAAAAAATGGTTGTGCCACTTGCAGAAGAGAGAGGCAGATCCAAGCCCTGGATTCGAGGCCTAAACATATGATCCGAGGCTATTTTAACATGGATCTGAGCTTGGATCGCCTGACCTTTGAATCCATTGGTCCAGATGATCAGATGAGAGCTCGGATGGGGATAGATCTGAGCTCGGATCCATCTCCCATGTTTTTATCTTCTGTTTCATTTCTCTTTTGCTCAATTTTCATTCCTTGTTTCACTTATCCGTTGTCCTCCAACGAACACCTTGCCTCTCTTTTATCTTATGTAAGTATTTCGTGCATCGATAACCTATAAAATATCACATGTTTATGCATTCATCTACTCATTTTGCAAGTTCCGATCACTAAACAATACTTGAAGCAATTTGCACAAAAAAGATCTTAAGTATGGCTAAGAACCTCTAAAATTCTGACAAAAACTCATGCAAAAACCATATAAAATATATGTGAAATATTTACTTATCAGATATGACCCTACTTGTCCTATTTACAAATCAATAATTCCTAGTGAATAAACAATTCTATTCTGGTATATCGGATTAAGCAAACTCTTCGGGAATATAGTGAATCAAGTAACCCATTGCACACCTAGAGTCCCTGCTCCAGTACTCAGAATTGGACTTTGAGTATTTTAATTGGCAACTAGATTTATTTTTATTATTGCACAGGCATCGAGAACCTGTCATTGGCTTAGTCTGTTTATTATTTTTGTCTCATTGGTCGGCCCATCAAAATCAAATTGTCATTGACTGAGGGAACTTGGAGCTGGTGTGTAGCACATTTTGGTAGAGTACTGATAGGTTAATTAAGAACTTAAATAATTGAACCTCTTCCCAAACATTAAGAAGTGAACTGGAAAAATCCTATCAATTCACATAACGTTGCTGAAGTTTTCCTATATATAACCTATCTAGTTACATGAATTAGGAATTGATTAGGATAGAAGGAAAGCTAGAAAAATATAAATGATAGCATACCAAACCTAATCTAAAAGAAAAGCTTTATGATCAATATGCATTAGTTCCTAGATTAGGTCAAACTTCAGGCTTAATAGCACTTTGGTACGTAAATGTTCCAACTTGGACAGCTCTAATGCTTACCTGCTGCCTGATTAGTGTGCTTTATTAGCTAAGCATTTCAAGAAACATCAATTTGACTCACCTTTGATTGTTAATTTAAAAGTCTGCACACTCAGCCAACCTGAGCCAAGAAGAAAATAGATTAACAGAAAAATGAGATGAACAAGAAGAAGAGGACAATTACAAAAAAATATATATATATATTTTTGGATTTCATTGAATTCCTATAACCAATTTACTTTCATTTGCAATTTTTCTTGCTCGTCTTGTCAGCGTTTATTTTTCCAAGTTTTCCCAAACATGTGAATAAGCCTTTTGCCCCTTTAGGCATTCTTCTTTTGTTACTAGATGATAGTGGGAAAATAATAGAGATTAAAGTAACATCCATGCATGTATATGTTACTAAGGGGTTTTCTTTTTTTTTTTTTCTTTTTTTTTTCCTTTTTGGTGTAAGCATGGCTTGTCATTTTCACTCATTTTTTGCCTGCAATATCCGAGAAATCGGAGAGGCTTAATATTTTCTTCAGCGGTGTGATGTGATTGTTTGATACTTTTCAATAATTAGCCGTTTAATTTCTTGATTTGACGAGTAAGGAGAGTGTTGTAGCGAGGAATAAGAGTGAAAATAAGTTAGTTAATTCTAATAAAACTAAGTATTCATTAATTAAAATGATTATTTGATCAAAATGCAAATACAGAGGACCAAGAACAAAACTTTGAAATGAAATGGAATTTTATTATTCATGGTAATAACTGATAGGTAGCTTGCCACTAATGGCACCGATACAATATGATTCATTGCATGTCTGGGTATATAAAATAGTATCACCAAGTGATATTGTTATATTTCTTCAATATACTTCAGCTTTTAATTCTTTTCCTTCCCTGGCATGAAATTGATATCTTCAGCTATGTTCATGGCATCTTTAGATATTCCAAACAGTCCAGAGCTTGAGAATCCTGCACAATACAATCCATCATCTCCCTTCCAGTGATTGGGTCTGCTTTTCTGGGGCATTCCGTCTTCATTGAAAAGGCTAGTTTCATCCTTCATTAAATATCATAGAAGGATAATCAGTAATACTGGTAATTAATTCCAAGTAAACTTAAAGGTTTCATTTCAAGTACCTTTAACCACGTTCTAACTGTGCTTTTGTAGCCAGTAGCAAAAACTATGGCATCAAAATTTTTCTTAATGCCATTTGAAAATTCAACATAATCTCCATCAACCCTCTTCACTGCCGGTAGAACCTGACAAGAAACAGTAGTGAATGTCTTATATCGAGTTTTATTTCATCTTGACAAAAAAAAAAAAAATGAAGGATGCCATGAGCATGTCAAGGTTGTCTACCTGAATTTTTCCACTTTTGATCATTTTCAAAGTCCCAACATCTATGACAGGAGATTGTCCTGTCATATTTTTGAGAAGAAAAGGTCCCTTGTCTGGCCTTTCAAGCCCATATTTAGCAAGGTTTCCATGCAGGAACTTGCTAAGCATGACTGCAGTGCTATCCACTAGATCACAAGGAATGAATTTCAACAGTTTCATTCCAAATCGCACCATTTCCTTGGTTAGAACATGAACCTGAAATTAGAAAATGTAAAATTTATGTCTGTGGACAGAAAAAAAGAACATGCCTTAGATTGCAAGAAACACAGATCCTTCTACTGGAAATGATCATGCTGGTCGACTATAGTGGGATGAACTCTAGAATCCCTCTGTCCATGAATTTGCGTCTTGATCTTTGTCTTTTATGGAGATCATGACAGAGCAAAAGATTAGAAAAATAAATATGAAAAGTAAAAATTTTAGAAAATCATGAGAGTTGATGATGAGATCATGAGAGAGCAAAAGAGAATAAAACAAAAATATTAAAAGTTTTTGCCGGGCTACGAATCACAATTGAGGTCTTAGCATCCCAGTCTGCTAAATCATAGGCTATTTCCATCCCAGAGTTTCCTGAACCAACAACTAACACATCTTTGTCACAAAAATTCTGGCCATTGTCATAATGGCTAGAATGCATGGCCACACCGCCAAAACTTTCAAGACCTGAAATTTCTGGTATCAACCCTTGACTATTTTCGCCCGTGGCAACAACTAGAAATTTTGCAACATAATTTTCTATTGCCCCAGACAGTGCGTTTTTGGCCAAAACAAGCCATTTTTCATCAGTAACATCAAAAGATGCAGACTCAACAAGTCTACAATAAATGGGATTAATGTTAAAATGGGAAGTGTAGTCATCCAAATATTGGATGAAGCCATCTTTGGGTACAAAAGTTGGTGCATCAGAAGGAAATCACAAGTGAGGAAGTTGGCAAAATTGCTTGGCCAAATGGAGTTTCAAACGACCATAAGTTCGTTTTTTCCAAAGAGAAGCACTGCAATCTCTCGTTCTAGAACAATACTGGGAATGCCACGTACATTTAGGCACGCTGAAGTTGCAAGGCCAGCAGGGCCACCTCCAACTATGATAACTACAGTTTCTTGCTTCATTCTTTTTTCTTTTTTGTTTTCCCTTTGGGTTGGTATTTGGTTTTTTTTTTTTTTTTTTCCGGAAACGTTAGCAGGTTGTATTGATAAACATTGTAACTACAAAAGTATGGGCAAAGGCCCAAACCACCTACACATCGTGTACACAGACACAGAGGAAGCTAGCGCTCCTCATCTAATGGAATGCTTGTAGCATATGAACTAATCTGTCTAAGTCTATCATGTTGTTCATCTGGAACCAGATAAAAGGAGCATTGTACAAACATGGAGCTTAGTCTATCAATCTCCTCCACCTGAGCGAACAACCTGATATCTTTAGCTTTTCCTGACCTGAGTTGTCTTAGCAACTGTTGGTCTGTGATTCCCACTCTTATATGGGACCACTGTTTTGCTCTTGCTTTCGCCATGGTCAGCTTTAAAGCTTCTGCATAATCCAGTAGCCATTGTCCCGTGCTCCGCTCTCTCATAGCCCATATAGCTTTTTCCTGACCATTGCTGTCATTTGCTATTACTCCAATCCCCACCACCTGTCTTTCCTTCTTGACAGTAATAGCTACTTGTACATCAATGCCCTCCCCCTCAACTGTGTTGTGTTCTGACTCGTCCACAGCATCAAAAGTTTCTGTAATGCTCTCTTCCCTGATCCCTTCCATAGCTTCCCGATGTTCCATCCATTCTTGCATAGCCTTTTGTATTACTTGTAAAGGTAGCTTGTTTTTTTCCTTGAAGACTCTTTCATTTCTCGCTTTCCACAGTTGCCATAAAATATTAGCAGTCAAGCATATGTGCTCCAACCCTCCTTGCCTAGCTCTTGCACCTAGCAGGGCACTCCACCATCTCCTAAAGCATCCCCTTTGGTCAGCTACCCCTTCCCACTGTACCGGTGATATGTTCCACACTTGTTCTGCATTCTTATAGTGGAAGAGTAGGTGTTCCACCGTTTCTTCTCCTTCTCCACAACCTGTACATATAGGCTCACCCAGCTTAGTTCTGTCATAGATAAGTTCTCTAACTGGTAACGCATTGTTCATGCATTTCCAGATAAAGACCTTAATCTTTTGTTTGACATTCAAGTTCCACAGATGTTTCCACCCCATTCTGCCCCCTAAACTCCCGCTGGGGTTATCCAGACTTCCCCTGCTACTGGTATCCTGAACTTCCTTGTTTGTCATTTCCTTATATGCAGATCTCACAGTATATTGTCCACTCCCACTATGGATCCAAAAATTGCTATCCTCTCTCCCTGTCCAGCTTATAGGAATCTTCAGTATCTTCCCTGCATCTTCACTGTTGAAAGTACTGAAAACCACTGGTCTATTCCATCTGAAGTTGGAGATCAACTGGTCCACAGTGCTGATGTTGCAATTTTGTGGCCTTACTGTTGTTGGCTGCCCTTTTGGAGTTTCAGGTATCCATTTGTCTTCCCATACCTTTGTGCTCCTCCCATTTCCTATCTTTCTCCTTATACCTTCCTCCACCTCCTTTCTTGCTCCCATAATGCTCTGCCAGATCTAGGAGGCTGTTTTAGGTACTTTGCTTCTGAGTTGTGACTCGTTGGGATAATACTTAGCTTTGAGGACCTTACTCACTAAAAGATTTGGTTTGGTTAAGAGTCTCCACACCTGTTTCCCCAGCAATGCTCTGTTAAATCTCTGCAGGTCTTTGAAACCCAACCCTCCATTCTCCTTTTCCTGAGCCAACTTCTTCCAGGAACACCAATGCAGTTTGGTTTTTCCATCTTTCTCACCCCACCAGAATCTAGCCATCCTGGAACTAATGTATTTACATAGCTTAGATGACAATTTAAAGCATGACATAGCATAGGTGGGCATCGCCATAGTCACTGCCTTAAGTAGCACCTCCTTCCCAGCAGCACTCAAAAATTTGTTTTTCCAGGAGTTTATTCTTTTCTGGCAATTATCCTTCACAAACCCAAGCACCTGTTCCTTAGTTCTGGTGATCACCATTGGTAGACCAAGGTACTTCCCTTGACTAACTTTTTGTATTTTCCCCAACTCCTTACAAATATCATCTTGCTTAGCACTGGACATATTTTTACTAAAGAAGACAGATGACTTCTCTAAATTGATCATTTGACCTGAGCCTTCCTCGTATCTCTTCAGCAAGTACATTAGCTCCTTAGCCTGACTGGACTCAGCTTTACAAAATATTAGAGAATCATCAGCAAAAAATAAATGAGAGATTGATGGTCCTCTTTTGCTGATCGTCATTCCAGTGATTTTCTTGCCATCTTCTGCTCTCTTAAGTAGATTTGACAGCCCTTCAGAGCACAAAAGGAATAGAAAAGGTGACAAAGGGTCACCTTGTCTTATCCCCCTTTGAGGAGTAACCAAGCCTCTGTGATCCCCATTTATATTGAAGGAATATGTGACTGTGGTGATACAGCTCATGATCCATTTGATCCACTTGTAGCAAAAACCCATTTTTTCCATGATTGCCTCCAAAAACCTCCATTCCACCCTGTCGTATGCTTTGGACATGTCCAACTTTAAAGCCATAAGTCCTGCATTTCCTTGCCTTTTGTTTTTCAGATGGTGCAAAAATTCATGTGAAAGAATCACATTGTCTAGTATCTGTCTTCCTGGAACAAAAGCAGCTTGATTTTTGCTTATACAAAGGTTCAAAACATTTTTCAGTCTATTGGCAAGGATTTTGGAAATCATTTTGTAAAGCACATTGCAAAGACTGATGGGTCTATATTGCTTCATATCAGTGGGATTATCAACTTTAGGAATTAGAGAGATGACTGTGTTATTTATAGCTTTAAGCATGAGGCTTGAATGAAAGAAACTTTGAATCGCCTGTACCACGTCATCTTTAATGAAATACCAGAATTTTTGAAAAAATAGGGGAGACATTCCATCTGGGCCAGGAGCTTTATTGGGGTGCATTGAGAACAAAGCTTTCTTAACTTCTTTTTCCTCTACAGGTTTGGTTAGGTTGTTATTCATTTGGTCAGTGATAGAGTGTGGAATTCCATGAAGTATTTCCTCTAAACACTGAGCACCAGAGCTAGTGAATAAACCTAGATAATACTCCTCCACTTCAACCCCTATTTCTTGTTCATTTAAGGTCCATGTCCCATCACCTCGTTGTAAATTCAGAATCTTGTTCCTTTTCCTTCTACCTTTGGTGCATGCATGGAAATATTGGGTATTCCTGTCTCCTCCCCTTAACCAACTCACTCTAGCCTTTTGGCTCCAATACACGTCCTCATCCTCATAGGCTTTTTTCAGTTGGTTTTTCAAGTCCATTGATCTCTCTCTTTTGTTCTGGTACTCCCCTTTTCTTAGCTCTTCCAATTGGTGTTTCAAATCCTCAATTCTCCTCCTCGAGTTCCCTTGGAACTTATTCCTCCACTTTAGAAGCTCTATCCTGCAGTTGACAATCTTTTTTTTAACTTTGAACATCCTGGATCCTCCGCTGTCCAACCTCTAGGCTCTTTCCACCACTTGTTTCATGCCTTCCCTCTGAAGCCATCGTTTATCAAAAGAGAACCTTTTCTTCTTTTTTCCTTGGGGAGGGCATGAATCAATTAAAAGCATGCTATGGTCAGACCTTAGGTTTTCCACATGCTTACACTGAGCTCTATCAAACATATGAAACCAGCATGCATTACACAAAGCCCTGTCCAGCCTCTCTTTGACTTCCCCATTCCTGTCCCAATTATTAGACCATGTCCAGGGGTTTCCCACAAAACCAATATCCACCAGATTGTTGGACTCAATGAAGTTCCTAAAATCTCTGAAGGTCCATTCCTCTCTCACTCTACCACCACACTTTTCATCATTGGAAGTGATATCATTGAAATCACCCGCAATAATCCACTTATCACCCCCACAGTCTGCTACGATCCTTAACAACTCTCCATTGTTCCTTTCTGATCACAGCATCACAACTAGCATACAGTCCTATAAACCACCAGTCTTGTTGGGACTCATTGTCCCTCAGATGAGCTTCTAGTGTGAAGGCTGACTCGAGAACTTGTATCATAGTAACTTCCTTTCTCCACATCAGGGTCATTCCTCTTGCCCTATTCATAGCTTCCACTACCTTGCTCTCCTCAAAACCTAGCTTCTGCCTAACACTCTCCATAAACTTAGCTTTATTCTTAGTCTCACTCAGGAACAAAATATTGGGGGAGAGGAGGCTGTTAGCCTCCTTCAGCTGGGGAATTGTCAAGGGGCTTCCTGCACCTTGGCAATTCCACACCAGCACTCTCATTTGTCTTTGGGAGACCAGAATTGGTTGGCCTCCACCCCCTCAACAAGCGACATATCCCCTCCAATACCTTCCCTCTGCTTATACCTCTTCAAGCTTATTCCAGAAGTCTTTAAATCCTCCATTTCCACCTCTGTCTGACTACTTTTCCTCTTCCTAGGAGATTCATCTGTTGCCTTATTACCATCCAAATCTCTTAGAGGACGCCTGCCTCTACCCTGTGGTTTAAATAGCTTTTTACTTCCCCTTACTTGTCTAGTACTTCGAACCAGCTGTTGCTCACCTGAATCAGTTTCCATGTGTACAATTTCTTCTCTATTTCCCCCTCCTTGTTCTCTTGTACTGGCACTATATCCTTTTGGCTCTCCCCTCCTAGTTGGATGGAGATGATCTGGTCTATGATCTCCACTCTCCCTGGAAAGATACTCTTAGCTAGTTCCTCAACCCCTTCTCCAACCCCCATAGGCCTCCCACCTACTCCTGGAGAATTAAGTACTGGTAGTTCCCTTGACGTGCTTCCTAGGTCTCCTTCCTCATTGTCTTTCCCTTGGGTCTAATTCTGCCCATTCTGTGTTCCTTCTACTCCTACCCGGGAGATTTTATCCATATCTTGTTCATTATTTTCCTTGTTGGTGGCTATCTTGCACTCACCCCCACTTCTGACATCCATTACTTGCAAGTTCTCCCCCTCCCCTGTTTCCTTCAATCCTCCACCCCCTTTAGGAACTAACTCACCATTTCTGAAACCCCAGACACTCCTTCCAGATGTGAATCTTTTTTCTGTGTGGACTTTCTGTGGTGAACTTTTCCCCCAACCTACTCTCATCCATGGTCCATACTGGTTGGTATTTGGTTGAGTCTGTGGTAAAATTATGTACCGATTACTAGGGTTTATATAGACCGTATGGATAAAGCTCCCCAGAAAAGATTTGATGATAAGAACTTGGCTGGCCATTTCTTAGTGCTTTGCATTTGTATTATATGGAAGGTAAACAAAAGGTTTAAGCTGTACTATTTGTATCCTTACTTGACCAATTTTGGAATAATGCCAACCGCGTTAAGAAATTTGTTTCATTTTTTGTTAATTAAGCAACAAATTGTATTAATCTCTTGAATTTATTTATAGAAATGCAATATCTTTACTTGGAACAATTTTGTGTGGAAAACGCAAAATTGTATTGAATAAGTTATCTTTTATCTACTTATGCATGTTTGGTTTAGCATATTTTTCTAAGAACTAATGTTCTCTAATCAAATTTTAGCATATGTATCCAGTTCCTGAACTGAGTTTCTTTAAGAAAATTACAGATAAAAACTTTTAGATTAAAAATTTATATTTGACAATTTTGTTTTGTTCTTTGCTAGCAGTTTCTTATATATTCTTATCTCGCATATAATTAGCAACAAGGTCTTAAACTATTTTTACATTTTATTTGTCCAGGCTCAATTTAAACTTTTATTACCTTATAAACATATTAACAAAGACCATTACTGTGCAATGAAAAAAGTACAAAAACTGCAAAAAAAAAAAAAAACCATTACCTTATAAAGATGCTAGTAGGAAAACTTAGTCATGGATGTAGTGAGTTACAATATTACTAATAGATAGACAGGGATACAGTAGGACAGCCAATTCTCTCCCTCAAAATTTTGGCAAAATCCTCTAAACCCTAGAGTAATATTGAGAATCTTCATTTATAACTACTTTTTTTAAAGAAAATTTTCAGTGCCTCTCTCCAGCTAACTTTTGTCTTTGGAAAGATACTAACATTTGCCCTCATCCACTCTTTTTGAATATTTATAAACTGGTATTTATTTAAATGGTATAAAAAAATAAACTTCTTATTAAATACTTTATTGTCATATATCATCTTCTTAAATTTTTAGATATTGTCTCCAAAAATATCTCTTTATAAGCATGCAAAATGAATATTTTTAACTAATTGGCTAACTTTGCAATAAGTTTATTGTTTACAATTTGGTATTAAACTGTATAGCAATTTCATATATTTCTTCTTTTTTTAGTACAATGCTAAAAAAGAGAAGATAGAGAGAGACATGAGTAAAAATGTATATATGTAAAATTTGATATGCTATGGCATACTTTTCCCATATTGGTTATACAACACTCATTCTTTGGTTTGTTGGGCTTGATTTTTATTATTGTTTGGTTAAAATCATCTTGGCCATAAGCAACTTGATCTTATAGCATTTTGGTTTCAAGTATTTTATTTTAAATTTTTAGATGTCAAGA